TCTAATGCACTCTTCTGCGCATCACGGCCAAATTGGCTGGCGTTTGTCGCGTCGACGGGCGGTTTTGGACGCGAGTAATTTGACCCGCGCCCGCGCGACTGGAAGGAAAAAAGCTCCTCTCTCCCCTCCGTGTCCTCCACTCCTTCCGTCTCTCCCCTTCCGTCCCGCCGTTCCTTCCCCCTCCCCCCCCATACTTTCAGAGTTTGGCTGCCACGCGCAGTTCCCAAGCCGAGTCGACGCTCTTTCGAGGAGAAGGAGGGAGGAGGAGGAGGAGGAGGAGGAGGAGGAGCAGGAGGAGCAGGAGGGGGAGGAGGAGGAGAAGGAGGGGAAGCAGGCAGAGGAGACAAGGAGGCAAAGGAATGGTAGAAGGAGAAGGAGGAGGAAGGGAGGGGGGGGAGGGCGCAGGAGAAGCGGGCAGAGGAGACAAGGAGGCAAAAGAAGGGGAGGAGGAGGACGAGGAGGAGGCGGAGGAGGAGGAGGAGGAGGAGGAGGAGGAGTACGGGGTAAGACTGGGGAGGTTTGGGAAGAGCTAGGGGGAGAAGGACTAGAAGGAGGAGCAGCAGTAGGAGGAGGAAGACAGCCAGCGCGGCCTACACCTGGAAGTCCAGCCATGCTCCTGTGTCGGAACGTTGCTCTCGCTTGAGCGCTGGCCACATCCTTGATCGGGAGCGGTGCGCTGTCGCCTGAGCGCTGGCAACAGTTCTGTCGAAGGAATGGTGCTGTCGCCTGCGCGCCGGCCACACCCCTTTCTGGGATGGCACTCTCGCCAGAGCGCCAGCCACAGCCAGACTTGCAAGGATGTTTCAGGCGAAACGGGCCGGACCAAATCAGGTCACGGCATCTGAGAGTTTCGAGTTGCAAGGATGCGTCCAGCGAACGGGCCGGACCAACGCTCGCGCGGCATCTGGGAGTTCAGAGTTGCGAGGATGTCTCAGGCGAAAGGGGTTGGACCATTTCAGGTCACGGCATAGGATCCCAGAGTTACGAGGGTGTTTTAGGCGAGACGGGCTGGACCTCAGGTCACGGCATCTGGGAGCTCAGAATTGCGAGGACGTCTCATGCGAAAGAGGTCGGACATTCTTTCTTGCGGCATTTGTGAGCCCCGAGATGCCACGCAATTGGTGGTCCTGTCAGTTTCGCCTGAGACATCCTCGCAACTCTTGGCTTGGGGCATTTTTCGCCTTAGACATCGTCGCAACTCTGGGCCCATGTATGTCCTGACCTGTGGTGATCTTCGACTCGCCCGAGACATCCTTGTAACTCAGAGCTCTTCGTTGTTTTCCTGTTGCTTCTTTTTGCTTATAGGCGTCGAAGGAATCTGCGCATCCCCCCTGTGACCTGACGAACGGTTGTGACGAGCAGTTTTGGTGAGTGGTTGGCACGTGGATTCGAAATGATGTTCCCGCCGGGGGGCAGCCAGCGCACGCGCTGCGGGGCAGCCGACGCGCTCCCGCGGCGCCAAGACGGCGGCGAGCGCGCGCAAGGAGCAGGCAGAGCATTCAAGGGCATTCCCTGGTTTTGTCGTTGCGCCATTGTAGAACTCCCTTGGTAGAGTCTTTGGCAGCGTCGGCGTTGACGACGGCGGCGACGACGAAACGCCCCGTGGCAGCGACGGTGACGGCGATGCCGATTCCGGTACGACGAACGCGGCGACAGCGACGAACTCGTCGTCGTCATCGTCGCCGCTCCGCCGCCGCCGCCGCCGCCGCCCTCGCCGTCGTTGCGTCGGGGGATGGGGGGAGAAGAAGCGACGCCACCAGTCGAAGGAGAAAAACAGCACAAGCATCAACTTAGGGGAACAAGAAGTGACATAAACATAAACAAACCTCGGAGGTCCGCGCGGATTTCTCGGCTCGGCGCTGGACCCCCCTCCCTGGCGCGCGGAGCGCGCCAGGGGCGGCGCCTCGTTCAGCGCCGATCCGAAAAATCCGCGCGGACCCCCGAGTTTTTATGTTTATGTCACTATTTGTTCCCCTACACAAACATCAAGTTCTTGCGCTCCGCGCGCGCATCTCAGCGCGCGGGCCTGTCTTGTCGGCGCCTCCAGCGCCGCCCCGTTGTGCGTTCCGCGAGCCAGGTGGGGCGTTCCGCTGACCTGCGTTCAAAGGGCCTGGTCAAAGCCAGAGCAGCTGGCCCAGAGTCCGCGAGGAGGAGGAGGAGAAGACCAAGGATGAGGAGGAGGAGGAGGAGGAGCAGGAGGAGGAGGAGGAGGAGGAAGAGGAGAGGATGTTGGACTCCGCGGGGGGTCGCCCCCCCTGGGATGGGAGAGCGAGAGAGAGAGAAAGAGAGAGAGAGAGAGAGAAAGAAAGAGAGAGAGGAGGAGGAGGAGGAGGAGGAGGAGGAGGAGGAGGAGGAGGAGGAGGAGGAGGAGGGCGCAGAGCCAAGACAAAAGGGCGGAGTTCCGACAGTTTACGCTCTTGCCGCGTCTGTCGTTCCTCTGACCACTTCCCGGCCACCTCCAGCGAGGAGGGCCACCAGCCTCCCGCGAGTTTGAGACTGGAGAGGAGGAGGGAGGAGGAGGGAGGAGGAGGGAGGAGGAGGGAGGAGGAGGGAGGAGGAGGGAGGAGGAGGGAGGAGGAGGGAGGGGAGGAGGGAGGGGAGGAGGGAGGTCTCGAGCGGGACGCTGCGAAACAGGGGGCCACGCTGCCAGGAGAGCCCTCCCTGACTCTCCAGGGATGGTGGCAGCTCCACGCCCAGGGCAGTGCTGCTCTTGCGTTGCATGCATGTTCGGGGGGGGGCATGCCTGTCCTTTGGCTTCCCTTGTATCCGACGTGTGCTCGACACGGATTCGGAATGGATTCGTCGTTGATTCGATGAGGCTTCGCCGTTCGACATCGATTCGGCGTGAGTGGTGGCGCGATGGGCAGGCAAGGCAGCCCGAAGATGCAGCATTTTTCGTCGTTCGATTTTCGCCGTTCCATTGTCACCTCTCATCGCCATCTTTTTTGACATATAGAGTTTAGCGGCATCTGGACGTTGCGAGCTCCAGGCTACAAGTTTCAGGAAATAGTTTCTTAACCTGTGTAAGGCCATCCCATCGCGATTTGTCCATTCATTATGTGGCCGCAGAGGTCGAGGATATCAGGAGCGCGACGGACTTGTTCGAAACGGAAGGCGTGGGTTGTCGAGAACGTGTTGGTGGTCCTTGAATCGTTCCAGACGAGCGCCAAGCCTTGCGATCCGACGTTGCACAACAAATACAACATCGCAACCAACCAAGACCGCAGCCCTAGATCTAATTTTGTCAATCGCATGTTCTTAAGCTGGATCGATCTGTCATGGCCCTGAGGCCCGAAACCTGCATGCCGCATTAGCTCGGCCGTGCATCTGACAGGACGCGTTGGCAAACGAAGGGTTGCGACGCTGGCAACCGAATGATGATCACTAGCCGCAAAGATTTGGTATGGGCGTGCGTCTACTAAGCGACCCCCTTCAGGATGCGTTGTGGGTAGGTTTTGTGATCAGCTCGAGGTTGCTGTGAGTTCCTGGGCCAAGCCCCAAAACTGCATGTCCGTTTTAGATGGCTTGGAACGCAGTATGTTTACATTGTTTGTGAGTTTTGCATGCTCACTTGATTTGCAGTTTTGGTGGGGCTGATACATGTAAAGAGTAGGCCGAGCGCCGAAGCCAAGCATCTGTACACTGAAACGGGTGGGGGGGGAGGGGAAACGCGAGGTGGGGCCAGACCGTATACAGAGGAAGCCCGCGCCCGCATCTCAGGGGAGGCTCGAGTTGCGGCCCCAAGACCGTCAAGAGCCCAGACGTTTCCCAAACATGCGACTTTAGGCTTCATAGATGTGGTCGGAGTAGATGTGGTCGGAGGATCACGCCGCATCGCTGATGCATCGCCGATGCGGCTAGATGTGGAGCCCGATTTGTTTCACGCCGACGTCGCCGATCTATCGCTCACATCGCCTATGCATCGCCTGTGCATCGCCAATGCATCGCCGATGCATTCCCGATGCATTGCCGATGCATCGGCGATGCGGCGCGATCCTCCGACCGCATCTACTACGATCCCATCTGGGAGGCCTCTAGCGACTTCCTGATTTGGACAATACGTTGTCCCCAGAAGTCCAACCCTTTCCCCAGGCCGGCTTCTCAGCCTGAGTCGTTCTTGACGGTCCTGGAGCCCGGCGAGGGCCCCGTGAGGCCGAAAACGGCAAAAACGCTTTCCCGCCCTGAATCTCTCCCCTTTTCGCGAGCATGTCCAGGCTCGCGTCGTGAGGGCACTGCGGCGGGCGCGTTTCCTGGTGCAGCCCTCGGCCTTCGGGTGGTGCCCATTGGCGGCGGCCGCCACAAGAAGTTGCCCTGGAGGACGAGCAGACAGCCCTCCGCGGCAGGGGTCCAGACCTCTGGGGATCCTCCTCCCCCCCGAACAACCAACGTCGTCGTCCCCCTAGTTGTTGTCGTCCTCCTCCTCGTCCTCGTCGTCGGCGTCGTCGTCGGCGTCCTTCTCCTCCTGCTCCTCATCCTCCTGGTCGTCGTCGTCGTCGCCTCCTCGTCGTCATGCGCATCATTCCTCGGAGCTCCGCGCGGATTTCTTGGATCGGCGCTGGGCCCTGTGGCAGCGCCGCCCCCCGGCGCGCTCCGCGCGCCAGAAAGAAGGGGGAGCAGCGCAGATCCACGAAGTGAGCGAGGACCTCAGAGAGTGTGTGTGTCTAGATGCTGGGATCTGCTCGTGCGGCGTTTGGCTGGGTACGCTCGTTCGCAGTTCCGACCCAGGTTGAGCTGTTTCGCCATGGTCGGCCTCCGGGTTCTTGTCTGCGAGCTCCGTGGGGAACCTTCCCAAGTTGAGGAGCCAGAGCGATCATACGAAACAAAAAGAGAAGGAGGAGGAAGCAAGGCAATTACGTGAGAGTCAACATCGTCAGACCTATAGGGTCCATTTCGATTTGATTGATCTGGTTCGACATCGAATATGACCAGCTCGATCCGATTCGATTTTCATATTCCGACGATCCGATGCGACCCGATGATTGTAAGGCGTTGTTGCGCATCGTAGTGTGGCCGATCAGGCGCGATTATACTTCGTGTCGATGCAGGCCGCTTGGCTCCAGCCACTCTGGCGCAAGCAATTTTTGTTTGGGGGCAATCGCTCTGCAAGTCCGCCGGGTCCTCCCAGCATCTCTCGGCGCGACACCATGGCTCGGCGGGTGGTGATCGCGGTTTTTGCTGCCCTGCTCGGCTGCGGCATGCTGATGTCCGCTTTCGTGCCCTTCTCGCCGATGGCCATCCGCCCGGCGGATCAGCAGCCTGCAGCGCTGGGAACGGCGATGACGCCTGACGACAGGATTGTCCTGCCGCGTGGGTGCTGCATTCTCAACTGTGATTCCCATGTCGCAATAGCTGAAGGGCAGAACTGCAGCAGCAGCAACAATGAGTCACTGAAAATATTGTCGTACACGTTGCACGATTCGAATGCTCACCGCGTTGCTGGATGGAACATCCAAGGGTGGTTGAAGTTTATAGGCTCTCACGGGGTGGGTGCCAAGTTTGTGTTCCAGGTGGGCTCTTTTGGTGCATTTTTGGACGAGGTGCTCCCGTTGTTGAAAAGCATGGACCCGTATCAGGCGCAACAGTGGCAAGGAGTCATTGCAGAGGCCAACCGGTACAACGTTGACAAATTGAAGGAAGCATATGTTGAGCAGCTATCAGCAGGCACACTTCGCATAATAAATACTGCTGTTGCAGATGTGTGTCATACTCCCACATTAAAATTTGTCGTGCCCAGCCCAGTTTTTCCCGGAAAGGGCTCAGGCCCAGGGTTCTCTTTTAGTAGGTAAACCTGTCCCCCGGTGCCAACTTGAGGGAGGCCGGCGAATTTTTTCCCTGATAAATAACGAGGTCGAAGGAGGCCGGCGAATTAAAATTTGAGGATGTCTCGAGCGAAACGCTTGTTTTTCAGAATTTCTTGAGGATGTCTCGAGCGAAACGCTGGTTTTGCAGAGTTGAGGATGTCTCGAGCGAAACGCTTGCTCCGCAGAGTTTGCCGAGGATGTCTCGAGCGAAACGCTTGTTTTGCAGAGCCGACCGCGACGCGGAAAAGCGCCCCGCGCGAAGGAATTTCGATGATGTCTCGACTAATTCGTTTGTTCCCGGAAAGGGCATGAGCCCAGGGTTCTCTTTTAGTGGGTAAACCTGTCCCCCGGTGCCAACTTGAAGGAGGCCGGCGAATTTTTTCCCTGATAAATAACGAGGTCGAAGGAGGCCGGCGAATTAAAATTTGAGGATGTCTCGAGCGAAACGCTTGTTTTTGAAATCCCGATCGATAAATCACAGGGTGCGGGCCACTTTTTCGTGTGTTGAGGATGTCTCGAGCGAAACGCTTGCTCCGCAGAGTTTGCCGAGGATGTCTCGAGCGAAACGCTTGTTTTGCAGAGCCGACCGCGACGCGGAAAAGCGCCCCGCGCGAAGGAATTTCGATGATGTCTCGACTAATTTGTTTGTTTTTGTACGATTTCCTGGAATTTTGGCAGGATGTCTCGAGCGAAATGCACGACCCCACCCTAGCACGACCATACCCCAGCACGACCACACCCCAGCACGACCAGACCCCAGCACGACCCCACCCCAGCACGACCCCACCCCAGCACGACCATACCCCAGCACGACCACACCCCAGCACGACCCGACCCCAGCACGACCCTACCCCAGCAAGACCACACCCCAGCACGACCACACCCCAGCACGACCTCACCACAGCACGACCACACCCCAGCACGACCACGCCCCAGCACGACCACGCCCCAGCACGACCACACCCCCAGCACGACCACCCCCCAGCACGACCACCCCCCCAGACACCCCACACGACCACCCCCCAGCACGACCACACCCCAGCACGACCACTCCCCCGCACACCACACCCCAGCACGACCACACCCAGCACGACCACACCCCAGCACGACCACACCCCAGCACGACCCCACCCCACACGACCCCACCCACACGACCCCACCTAGCAAGACCACACCCCAGCACGACCACACCCCAGCACGACCTCACCACAGCACGACCACACCCCAGCACGACCACGCCCCAGCACGACCACGCCCCAGCACGACCACGCACCCAGCACAACCACCCCCCAGCACGACCACCCCCCCAGCACGACCACACCCCAGCACGACCACACCCCAGCACGACCACACCCCAGCACGACCACACCCCAGCACGACCCACCCCAGACGACCCGATCGATAAATCACAGGGTGCGGAGCACCCCAGCACGAACCCACCCCAGCACGACCCCACCCCAGCACGACCCCACCCCAGCACGACCACGCCCCAGCATGACCACACCCCAGCACGACCACACCCCAGCACGACCACTCCCCAGCACGACCCCACCCCAGCACGACCCCACCCTAGCACGACCACACCCCAGCACGACCACACCCCAGCACGACCCCACCCCAGCACCCCAGCACGACCCCAGCACGCACGAGACCCACCCCACACGACCACAGCAAGACCACACCCAGCACGACCACACCCCAGCACGACCACACCAGCACGACCCCACCCCAGCACGACCACGCCCCAGCACGACCACCCCCCAGCACGACCACGCCCCAGCACGACCACCCCCCAGCACGACCACACCCCCAGCACGACCACCCCCCAGCACGACCACGCCCCAGCACGACCACACCCCAGCACGACCACTCCCCAGCACGACCACACCCCAGCACGACCACACCCCAGCACGACCACACCCCAGCACGACCACACCCCAGCACGACCCCACCCCAGCACGACCCCACCCCAGCACGACCCCACCCTAGCAAGACCACACCCCAGCACGACCACACCCCAGCACGACCTCACCACAGCACGACCACACCCCAGCACGACCACGCCCCAGCACGACCACGCCCCAGCACGACCACGCCCCAGCACAACCACCCCCCAGCACGACCACCCCCCCAGCACGACCACACCCCAGCACGACCACCCCCCAGCACGACCACACCCCAGCACGACCACTCCCCAGCACGACCACACCGCCTTGGTTGAGTGGTTGCCTGTCGTCGTGGAATGTTTCGTGGGGTGTCTCGTGGAATGTTTCGCGGGGTGTCTCCTGGAATGTTTCGTGAGGTGTCTCGCGGAATGTTTCGTGAGGTGTCTCGTGGGATGTTTCGTGAGGTGTCTCGTGGGATGTTTCGTGAGGTGTTGCCCCGTTGGGTATCGTGAAAACGTGCCATGCTCCACATGTCTATATCCCTTCCGGGTTCGTGGGTCCATCATGTTGTACGTTTTCCTGGAATTTTGGCAGGATGTCCGAGCGAAATGCACGACCCCGACCCTAGCACGACCATACCCCAGCACGACCACACCCCACGCACGACCAGACCCCAGCACGACCCCACCCCAGCACCCATACCGCAGCAAAGCACGACACCCCCCAGCACGACCACACCCCAGCACGACCCACCCCAGCAGGACCACACCCCAGCACGACCCCACCCCAGCACGACCCCACCCCAGCAAGACCACACCCCAGCACGACCACACCCCAGCACGACCTCACCACAGCACGACCACACCCCAGCACGACCACGCCCCAGCACGACCACGCCCCAGCACGACCACTCCCCAGCACGACCACCTCCCAGCACGACCAGCACGACCACCCCCCAGCACGACCACACCCCAGCACGACACACCCCAGCACGACCCACCCTAGCACGACCATACCCCAGCACGACCACACCCCAGCACGACAGACCCCAGCACGACCCCACCCAGCACGACCCCACCCCAGCACGACCATACCCCAGCACGACCACACCCCAGCACGACCCGACCCCAGCACGACCCTACCCCAGCAAGACACACCCCAGCACGACCACACCCCAGCACGACCTCACCACAGCACGACCACACCCCAGCACGACCACGCCCCAGCACGACCACGCCCCAGCACGACCACGCCCCAGCACGACCACCCCCCAGCACGACCACCCCCCAGCACGACCACCCCCCAGCACGACCACCCCCCAGCACGACCACACCCCAGCACGACCACTCCCCAGCACGACCACACCGCCTTGGTTGAGTGGTTGCCTGTCGTCGTGGAATGTTTCGTGGGGTGTCTCGTGGAATGTTTCGCGGGGTGTCTCCTGGAATGTTTCGTGAGGTGTCTCGCGGAATGTTTCGTGAGGTGTCTCGTGGGATGTTTCGTGAGGTGTCTCGTGGGATGTTTCGTGAGGTGTTGCCCCGTTGGGTATCGTGAAAACGTGCCCATGCTCCACATGTCTATATCCCTTTCCGGGTTCGTGGGTCCATCATGTTTGGGAGGGCAAGGAAAAGTTCAAATGGAAGTTCGGAACCGGAACGATCAAAGATAGTGAGAACGGGCAGGCAATGCAGACGTGGGGCAAAGACCAGTGGGAAGAGCTCGAGGTTCCATGTGGCACAACAGACCATGTGATGCGCCTCGGGAACGTCCCAGAATCACCAGATTTTGTGCAGGTTGATGCCGAATCGCACGATGCGCACATTCTGATTGGGATAGATTTCACCAAGTTCAGTCCCAAATTGATTCGGTGGGAAAGTCTTCCAAACATGGAGAAGAAAGACACCTTGCTGGACAAGCTATATAGCCATGGCTACGTCACCATAAAAACTGGTGTCGGCGCAGATCCGTTCGCGGTCCGGCAAGATGTTTTGTTCGCAGCGGTTGGAACTACTGTTTAGAGCGTCGACCCTCTGGGCCTCTGAGTGCTCAGCAATGGAATTATTCGGCGCCTCAGTCTGTGAGCCTTGGCATGTCAGGCCAGCGCAGCGAATGAGACGCAGTTATTTGTTTCCCAAGACGGCACTCACAACTGCATATGGTTGGGTCCTTCGCCAGGCTAATTCCCCAACCATCCTGCGGTGTTGGGTCCTCGTTTTGAAGAGACAGCGCCCCGCGTCTCCCTCCTTTCTTCCTCCTCCCCCCCCGTCCTCTTCCTCCCCCTCCTTGCCTCTGCTCTCGGCGCACCTCTCACGCGCTTCGTCGCCCCATAGGGAGCTCCACCGAAGGCCCCAGCGGTTGCTCTCGCGTGCGTTTCCCCCGCCTTGGGCAGCGCTTTGTGGCCCCATAAGGAGCTCCACCGAAGGCCCCAGCGGTTGCTCTCGCATGCCTTTCCCCCACCTTGGGCAGCGCTTCGCGGCCCTATAGGGAGCTCCACCGAAGGCCCCAGTGGCTGCTCTCGCATGCGTTTCCCCCACCCTGGGCAGCGCTTCGTGGCCCCATAGGGAGCTCCACCGAAGGCCCCAGCGGTTGCTCTCGCATGCGTTTCCCCCGCCCTGGGCAGCGCTCCGTGGCCCCGTAGCTCCGATGAAGGTTTCTCAAGCCAGCGTGGCCATTCTCTATCGAAGGGCTGCCGCCTCTGCCGCCGACCCCAATTGGGCGACGTATGTTTGATTCGTTTGTTGTCGGGCTGCCTTTCCGAGCACGGTAGGAAGGGTCCAGGTGAGACATCCAGGTTTGAGCATCGCCCCCTGGACTCTTGGTTCTCTGTTGCACCTCGGGCTCCTCTCTATCGAATGGCCTTCAGCCCATCCCGTGCCTGGGTTGTGGGTGTGAAGCCTATTGGATGTTCGGCGGGATTTCGAGGGTGACCTTTAGGGAACCTCTTGGATGCAGTTTGGAGGCCTCCTGGGAGCAGTTTTGGGGCCTCTCGGGGTCGCTGTTGGATCCCCTGGGCCCCTCGTGAGTGCCTCTTGAGTGCCTCTTGGGGCCTCCTGGGGTCCTCTTGGGGCGGAACGCTCGGATTGTCGGTTCGTGTTCCCTCTCTCGGGCCACTGTTGGGGCCGTCGTGGGGTCCTCTTGGGCCGTCTTGGGCGCCTCCTGGGCCTTCGAGGGCCGCCTTGGGGCCCTCTTGGAGGCCTCTTGGGCAGTCCTAGGGTGGCATCGGGAGCCTCGAGGGCTGTCAGAGAGCGTCGGGAAGAAAACACAGCGAGAACGCCAAATAATTGAAGCAACGAATGCAAATCAATGATGTTTGCTTCTCTGGGTCCTCTTGGGAGGCATCTTCGAGGCCTCTTGGGGCATTTCGGAGGCCTCTTGGGCCATCTTGAGGCCATTTAGGGCGTCTCGGAGCGATCTTTGGGCGTCTCGGGGCGTTCTGGGCCGTCGTGGGCCTCTTTGGGCCCTGTTGGGCCTGTTTAGGGGCCCCCATCGATCCGAAACGGTCACCCGAGAAACAACGAGAAGCCCCAGGAGAAAATGTCGCGATGTGAGGTTTGGGGCTCTTAACGACTCTTCAGGCGCGATGACTGAGGTTGAGAGGATGATGGCAAGGACCTGAGGGCACGCCCACTCCGTGCCCAGAGGCACGGTGGCGGATCTACATAACCATGTTAATCCGATGATCATCGTTCCGACATATCGCATCGCATTTCCGAGCTTCAATGGGGGAGCCGCCTGGGGGTATTTCAATTTGTTGTTGGTTTGAATCGCAGTGACCCGGGTTAGCGGTCGGTAGATTGGGCGAGGTGGCAAATATCAGGAGCAGCAGCGACCCCATCCCCGAAGGGGAAACATGGGGTTGGACAAGGAACCGCGATTGACCATCTCCTGCCCAGAAGACGAGTGTGTTTTTGAGTTAGGATACCCCATGCGAGAAGTTGCCTGGGTCGGTTTCGGCGAAGCCATCATCGGTAATTTGGGCCCTGAGATGCGGCCTGTGAGGCGGTCCGGTCGGTCTCGAGACATCCTTGCAGTTATGGGCTTCGAGTTGCCGCGCGTGAGATAGTCCAGCCCGTTTCGCTTCGGCTTCTTCGCCGCTGTCATGAGGCGGTCCAGCTTTTTCCCGGAAAGGGCATCGGCCCAGGGTTCTCTTTTAGTAGGTAAACCTGTCCCCCGGTGCCAACTTGAGGGAGGCCGGCGAATTTTTTCCCTGATAAATAACGAGGTCGAAGGAGGCCGGCGAATTAAAATTTGAGGATGTCTCGAGCGAAACGCTTGTTTTTGAAATCCCGATCGATAAATCACAGGGTGCGGGCCACTTTTTCGTGTGTTGAGGATGTCTCGAGCGAAACGCTTGCTCCGCAGAGTTTGCCGAGGATGTCTCGAGCGAAACGCTTGTTTTGCAGAGCCGACCGCGACGCGGAAAAGCGCCCCGCGCGAAGGAATTTCGATGATGTCTCGACTAATTCCATTTGTTTTTGTACGATTTCCTGGAATTTTGGCAGGATGTCTCGAGCGAAATGCACGACCCCACCCTAGCACGACCATACCCCAGCACGACCACACCCCAGCACGACCAGACCACAGCACGACCCCACACCAGCACGACCCCACCCCAGCACGACCATACCCCAGCACGACCACACCCCAGCACGACCCGACCCCAGCACGACCCTACCCCAGCAAGACCACACCCCAGCACGACCACACCCCAGCACGACCTCACCACAGCACGACCACACCCCAGCACGACCACGCCCCAGCACGACCACGCCCCAGCACGACCACGCCCCAGCACGACCCCCCCCCAGCGCGACCCAGCCCCGCAGCAACGTCCACCCCCCACACGACCCACGCCCCAGCACGACCACACCCCAGCACGACCACCTCCCAGCACGACCACTACCCCAGCACGACCACCCCCCAGCACGACCCCACCCCAGCACGACCCCACCCCAGCACGACCATACCCCAGCACGACCACACCCCAGCACGACCCGACCCCAGCACGACCCTACCCCAGCAAGACCACACCCCAGCACGACCACACCCCAGCACGACCTCACCGCAGCACGACCACGCCCCAGCACGACCACGCCCCAGCACGACCACGCCCCAGCACGACCACGCCCCAGCACGACCACGCCCCAGCACGACCCCCCAGCACGACCACCCCCCCAGCACGACCACTCCCCAGCACGACCACCCCCCAGCACGACCACACCCCAGCACGACCACTCCCCAGCACGACCACACCGCCTGGGTTGAGTGGTTGCCTGTCGTCGTGGAATGTTTCGTGGGGTGTCTCGTGGAATGTTTCGCGGGGTGTCTCGTGGAATGTTTCGTGAGGTGTCTCGCGGAATGTTTCGTGAGGTGTCTCGTGGGATGTTTCGTGAGGTGTCTCGTGGGATGTTTCGTGAGGTGTTGCCCCGTTGGGTATCGTGAAAACGTGCCCATGCTCCACATGTCTATATCCCTTTCCGGGTTCGTGGGTCCATCATGTTTGGCTTGAAACATCCTCGCAGAGCAGTCTTCGCCCGGTGCATCCTCGCTATTCTGGATTAGTCGATGCTTTTGCCGCACGGTATCAGATCCCGTTTCCTCGCTGCTCTGGGCTCGCAGTTGCCGTGTACTGTTCGTTTCGCTTGAGATCTCATTGCCACTCTGGGTTTATGTACGTCTTATGTCCTCACCTCACGTGGTCCCGGTCTTTTTCGCATGAGGCATCGTTGGGAATTTCCCATGTCTGGGCTCAGAGATGTCCTGTCAATTTGTGTCACTTTTCAGTGGACACTCGGGGATACTGGAACCCTCCTTGTTGCCAGTGGCAAATTTGTCAATCGGGGCCACTTGTCAAATGGGCGAGGGTAGCTGGGCATTGCATGAGGCGGGTTGCCCGTCGATTTCACACACTAGTCACCCAAAGGGGTGGGCGGACTTCCTTGTCCTTGCCTTAGATGCTGTCACCTCGCTGGAGGATACGCCACATCCGCCGACCCCTCTATAAACTACTGCGCCTCCAGCGACTGCATTCCACGAGGTTTGTCCGAATTATGACACGGCGCTCGACAGCGTTCCTTTTGCCTCGTTGTTGTTATCGTATTTTCCGGGACCCATGCTTCGTCCCGATCCGTTCCTTGGCGGCCCCTCGGTGGGCTCCCGTTGGGATGTCCGTTGGGATCTCGTGGCGAGGATTCTCGTGGGCCTCTTCGAGGCAGTTTCGAAGGGTTTGGGGAGCCGTTTTGGAGCTTCTTTTGGACCTCTTGGGGA